GCCCACTAGCATGCTTTACCAAAAATAGTGCTTTGTTGTGTATCTGACGGACGAAAGCCAAACCAGTTCCACACTGAAGTTGCAGCATTTTTACAAACCAATTCTGGTTCATCTGTTTCATTCAACGATTTGCTTTTTCCGACATGTGCGTATGAAAACAAAGGCGCGTTTTACCCATAATCTATCGCGATATTTCATTTTGCTATCGTTGCCCAAAATTATACCGGTGTTACCGTGAATGGCATGATATGGCCCCACCCTAGTCTGTATTCATAAGTTCACCAGTTCTGACAAAAGTCCAACACCACTTGTTGAAATACAGTCCTAAGCCATAAAGCCTCGACTGTGCTTTACAGATGACTGTAGACACTTAGGTTGTACTTCTCTCCTGATATCCTCCAAACATATTGACAATAATTTGAACCAGAACTTTGATATTTTGATTCATCAGACCCGTCACTATTGATTGTCATTGATTGTGTAATTTGGAATACTTTGTCCTTTTCTCTGTATCATGTGTACACAGAATGTAGTGTAATTCAGTTCAGTTTTATTCATATAGCACCAAATTACAACAACAGTTCCTCAAAGTGCTTTTTATTGTAAAGACCCTACAATAATACAAGGAAATGGAGAAAACCCCAACAATCACATGACCCCCTATGAGCAAACACTTTGGTAGGGATGGAAATGGATAAGAATTTAGCAATTCCAGTTCCATAATCGATATCACTTATTGTTTCGATTCCTTATCGATTCTCAATGGCTCTACTTTGAGGAATATATCAAAGACCTTGCCTTCATGCAAATCAGTTACATCCTGCATGGTCAAATGTTTGTGCATGTTGGAGATATTTGCTCTCTTTGCTGTGATCAGTGTTGGTGTCATTACTCCAAAAGAGTAAAGTTAAAAAAAGTTACTACACAACACTTTTCTTAAAAGTAATGCAGTACCTTACTTAATTACACCCAGGACAAAGACATTTGTTATATTACTCTGTTACAGTCGTAGAGAAGCTTTGTGACCAGGCTGCTGACAGTAATAGCAATCGAGGTTGTACCTTTGACTGCAATGTATAGGTTTCTTACCACACCTAGGGTCCAAGCTTTCAGCACTAGTTGCCCATGGAGGTTTTACCTCCACAAACCTTGGTCTCCCCACAGTTATCTATAGGGAGCTAGGTAACATTCAGCCAGATTTGCAGCTTCCTCTTCTGTCTTTGGATTGTTCTCCTTCACCCATGTGCAGACATCTGGATGAAGCATGTGAAGAAACTGCTCTAAGATGACGGTTTCCGCAATCTCTTCTTTACTCCGACTGTCACGTCGCGTCCATCGCTTATAGAGCCCCTTTATCCAGTTGAAGGTTTCTCTAACACACAGTTCCTCTGGTGCTCTGGAACTGGTATTTGTAGGTCTCCTCTGCCACATTAAAATTAGATAACACTGCAGCTTTAATAGCATCATAAGAGTCAGACTGTTGTTAATCCATGTCAGCATAAGCCTCAAGGGCTTTGCCATCCCTGTGTTTTAGCTATGCGTTCAAATCGTACAAAGAAACTTTCAGGATGCTCACCTTCCTTAAAGTCTGGTATTCTTGTTGAGGCTGTGCAGGGAGTGGTTGAGATGGAGGCGGGAGCTCAGCTTGGTGCTCAGTGGCTCCATGAGGTGGCTGCACAGCTGATAGCTTAGGCAGCTGTTGTAAAAGTGTCACTCTGGACAGAAGGTCGATAGAGAAGTTCAGAATAGACATCATGTTGCAGCTTTGGTATGTTATTGCTCAGCTGTTTAATCTGTTCAAGCAGTATTGTTTTTGTTATTTTGGTCATTTAATGAATTCTCTAATTTCATCAAAGATATCAGGTTCAGAAAGTTCTTTACCACTGGCTCAAAATCATCCTCGTCAGCCATCGCTCCTTCTGTTGGTGGATCTAGCTTATATGTTTTTCCACCTTCTCTTTCTTCAATGTCAGCAAGGGAACTTTTCCTTGTCCCACGGGTTTTTCCACATCTTACTGCTCTCATTTAGTGTGTTTTCCTCTTTAATTCACTTCTGACACCACAGTTACGCAGAGAGGTCTGGTGAGGATAACAGCAGACAGCACTCTGACTTAACAGAGAACAAGGGTAGTTTATTGGCCCATCTTTGGCACACACAGCAACTTCCTAAATAACAGCCTATCCATCTCTCTCTCCCACATCCTGCATCCTGAAATATATTTGTTTAATGTGCCCATTGAAGTACATATCTTGTTCAAAAATGACTCCAAGATTCCTCAGTGTTACCGGAGAAGAAGATAATGGCATCTGGTTAGACACCATATTTTCAGAGCTGAGTACACTGAACTCTATTTGATTTGAATTTAGAAGCAGAAAGTTAGAGGTCAAGAGGTTAACTAATTGGTGTGTGTTATCTGTGGCGTTATTTTTGTGCCACTATTCTGAGCGCACGTAAAAAAAAAAAACTGCAGGTGCAAGTGTTGCATTTATCCACACACACACACA